TGAATACTGATAGTTGATAAGCTTTGATTAAAGGTTAAAAAGAATAGATTTGCATGCTTAGTTAAGGGTTAACTTAGGATAAAACGTGTATGATCATGCATCTATCTTAGTAAAAATGTGCATATTTTGTGATTAAAGACTTGGACATTCAGTTATCGGTAAATGAAGGTTTATTGGTGTAAATATGTTGGTTTTTTAAAGAAAAGTGAAGATTGATGATCACACAATGCATCAGACACATCGCATGCCAAAATTTCCAACTTATTAGAGGAATGTGCTAACCAAATTACTTTGAAAGTTCCCGCTTCACAATGTTTAAGCCACATTCGATGCCTATATTATCAAATGTGAATAACCACTTTTGACCAAGTAATTGGTCCAAGATTTGGTCTCCTTTCCTAAGATCTCTACAGCTACTAGTTTTTCACAGCTTAATTCTTATGGATTTCTCAACACCGTGTTACCTCCCAAGCCTATAAATTGAGCTTCCATGGATCACTTCAAGACATCTCATTTTTCCATACTTTTGTTCTTCCTTTCTTCTTTGTTATCAACTTTAGTTTTTTGAGTTTCTTTTTCTAGAATTATTTGAGTTTTGTTCTTCAATTAAACTTTCTGCAATTATTCTTTGTTTATTTTATTGCAATTCAATTTTGTTATTTCTTTCAAATTCTAATGAAAATGCTTTCTTTTGTTATCTTCTCTTGTTATTTCAATTCTTTTACTTGAGTAGCTAACTTATTTTTTCAACCATCCTATGAATGATTTAGTTCATCTATTTTAAATTACATCTATCAGTGAGCACGATGTATTACGCTCTCTTTGCTTATCTTGATTGATACAATTTATATAGTTGATTTTCTTGTTGGCCACTTGTTAAATCACATTAATTTGAATTTAATTCTGAAAAGGTCAGAGTCAAACAAATTTCTTCAAGGTAGAACGGGAAGTTACTTAAAAATAAGAACTAAAACAAGATCCTAGACATAGGCTCTAGGTACTCGACTCCTTCTAGAAAAGTCAGGCCGATCGCCTTGGCTAAAAAAGAATRAATCTCAGTCAATGCGAGGGGTAGGGAGCGCCCGCCCTATCKAAAATGACGAGCGGCTCGACTGTTTGGCAAGTCGGTCGATGGGGGTCCGTATCTCCCCAAATCACTGATTCAAAGCTTGAAAGCGATTTAGCTTAACACATGCAAGTCGAGCTGTGATTCACTAACAGACAYGCGTCAAAACCAAATGACTCAGGGCACCCAATCGGCAGCGTTGGGAGACCTCGCCTCCTGGGTCGACGTGTGGAGTTTGCTGGTGAAGTTCCTGGGTTGGTTTGGCCAAACGTAAGTTGGAATTTGATTTATTTAGGATTCTAGTGTTTCATAAACATATGTAAACACTAGTCTAAGCTTCTAAACAAACTAAAAGCGGTATGGAATAGGAGTTGAACTAGTTTGCATGAATTGAGCATAATTACGGACACATTTGATAGTTGTAATTCATCTTTTTAGAACTAAATCTTAGTAGGGGTTGAACTTTTTAATCTTTGTATTTTTAATGGTGTTTCCAACAATTTCACCACTTTTTATTCCAAAATCCGATTGTTCATTTAAACAATTTACAAAATCAATTTTAAAAGAAAACTAGTCCCTCAGCAGAACAATAGTCCATAAACCAAAATAAATCAAAGCGAAAAGTAAATAGATTAAAATAATATTTCTAACCTAAAATGTGGCCAACTTTGTAATAATAGTAACTTTTTAATTAGCTAATTTTAAATAAATAGATTAATGTATGACTAGAATCACGTGTCAATAGAACATTCTTATTTCAAACGAAAGAGAGAAGAGATGGAAAGAAAGTAGAGGAAAATAGAATAGGCATGGATATTTTTTTCCTTATAAAAATAAAAGATTTGAAAAGAGGAAAGAAAAAGAAATCAATAATATTAGGCTTTTTGCCTCCTTCGGTTCGAAAAATAATATTAGTTCCTATATTAGTGATCTCTATTTTGTATATTAAATTTTCAAACTTTTTTATTCGACATATTTTACATTATATTAATTAAAAAAAAAAAGCCTTTGTAAGAAGCTTCCTATACATGGGAATATTTTCCCTTAAACTATATACTTTTTTTTCCTTTTTTTTATTTATTTAAAAGTTGGGTTTACTTAAATTTCCTACGAGAAGCTTCAAGGAAGTTGTATTTTCTATGTCGGTTTGGATTATTCCATATTCTACAAGAGAATTCGAGAATTTTAATGGTTTGATAGCTACTTTCATTATATATTAATTTATAATTTAAATGAACTTCTTGAGTTCGATTATATTTTCAAAACGTCTATTTCAATTTTTAATTTCTTTTAGGTACGGATTTTGATCTTTTTCATTTTTATAGTATTTGTTTTAGTTTTTAAAATTTCAAAAACTAACTATTATCTTCATTGCTATTATTTTTCTATGTGATTTCTACGCACCCACCGAGCAGATAATCAAGATGAAATAAGAAGACAATATAATTAAAAATAATATTCATAAA